GTTCCTCAGTTTGGATTTGCCTGATTGCCCAACCCCCTAATTTAAAGGGCACATCTGGTTCTCTGATGGAAGAGTAAGTGGGACCAGGGATAGCCATGCAGACATTATTACAGGGAGTGATCTTTCTTTCATTTCTTAAAATATATTCACCATGCTCTGTTATTTGGAATAGCTTAGAATTCACCCAATGAAAATTATCACACTCAAATACCATTTCTTTTATCCTCATGTTTTTATTGTTAACATTATCTAAGATGTTTCTGTGATAGTGACTTAACATATCTTCTTGCCATGTTATATAAACCACAGAAATTGTCACAGTTAATAGTTATTAGTATATGAATGTATGCATGATAGTGGAGGGAAAGTTAAAACTTAGGAAGATCTTAGAGGAAAAAACTTAGAAGAGTGAGGAGAATGTGACTTTGAAGAGTGGGAAGAATTTAACTCCTAGAGCTAGATTTGAGTGTTGTCTCCATTACTTAAGGTCTCTGGCCAAATTCTTTACTTCCGTGAGCCTCAGTTAGCCACCTGAACTGTAAAATGATTAGACTGAAATGGATAAATGGTTCCCTGTCTTTAAACAACAGCTATTTTTCTCTATAGGGACCTTGCATGCAGAAAGATTTGGCATAGTAAATTAGCTGTTTGTATTCATCGAAGACCTGTGTCATGCCAATCACTCCTTCTGCTAATTGTTAAATAACCTGTGTTATGACGCTGGGTTGGCACAATTCTATCAAAAAATGAAAACAACACAAAACCATTAGTTCACTTTTGCAACTTCATTGCCTGTAAATCTACATTTCTTTGCAACTTCATTGCCAGTAAATCTACGTTTCTTATTGGGCTTTTTGAAATGCTGACTTTAAGTTTCAGATTCCTGCCAGGTGTGGTGGCACATGCCTATAATCCCACCTACTCCTAAGTCTGAGGCAGGAGAATCGCTTGAACCCAGGAGGCAGAGGGTGCAGTGAGCCGAGATCGTGACACTGCACTCCAGCCTGGGTGACAGAGCGAAACTCCGTCTAAAAAAAGGAAAAAAAATTTCAGATTTCCGTTCCTTTTAATGTAAATCTCAAGTTGGAATCCATTAAACATGGTTGTAAAAATGGTCCCTTTAAGAAGATGAGCCAGAGTTTGAGTTCTTCCTGTCCCCAACCAGCCTTTGGGAGCGCCCTTTCACTGGGTGTGATTTTATGCGTGTAGAGAGCTAACAAAACTGTCCCCTCCGTTCCTGTGGGTGGTGAGAGTAAGAAAACACTGAGTTCTGATTTATAGTTTGACCCAACACCACAGGAAAGTAATGAATCAGAGGCAAATAAACATACACAGACAATTTTTTTCCTTTAAGCAATCTTAAATCAGACAGCACTGTTTTCACCTATGAACTCAAGTAGCAATTTTGAGCAAAATCATGACCTTTCAAATAGACTTTTCTCAGCTATTTTAGTGAACTTATTCTATTCAGTTTACTAGCAGCCTTCTGTTCGTAGGTGGTAACTTGGCTGGTGATTGTTATCTGTGTATCCCTAATAAAAACTATGAATGACCTACATTTCCTTCAACAGCACAGTTACAGGATGTCTGCCACTGTTTGTAAAGAAAATCCGGAGAGCTTTTTTTAATGCTAAGGTTGTTTTCAACGTTATGCCCAAAATTTGGTCAGCCTGTAACTATTACTCAAAAACAGTCTCTCCATTCTATCTCATAAATATTTGACATAACTACCTCGCAGAATCTCATAGCCTAGCTTCTGTGTTTTAAAGCCTTCTGTTCTAAATGACATTAAATACTATGACATTTTAATCTCAAAAGTTCAAGAGGCATTTTTTTAGCTTTCATAATATGGTAGCAAAGAATGAAATGTTGACAAAGGCTGGGGGAGGGGAGTTGAATGCCTGGGGAATAAAGTATATGAAACTTGCACTGGAGCATAGATTTTTGCTACTTAAGCTTTCATATTAGACTATACATTACATGGCTCCACTGAAAGTTTTTTCTTCTGCAGTGTTTCTGAGGTTTTAGGTTTCTGGATTTATTATGGCACCCAGTAGCAAAGCTGGAGTCAAGTGTTTTCAAGGCTTCCATTAGAAATTCCTTTTTCAGAGTTTATTGCTTGACTGTTTCAAATTATATGAGAGAAACTTGGCACACAGGTTGTTGAGCTGGATTACTTTTTTGACATAAAATCTAATTTATTTCAGTTTGTTTTTAATCTAGAGATGGGCCAACAACTCTTCTCATAGTTTTATAAGATTTGATCATAATTCTAAATCATGTTTTTTTTCTTTAAAGAAAGAAGAGAAACTGCATTTTTCCAACTTAATTGTTCATGGCTTTTTCAAAATCCTTGTTGAAAATTTTGAGAAATTTATTTTCACAAAGCACTTAATTAGTGTGCTTGATATCTGTTTGCAGATCATTTCACCATGTGTAATGCAGCATGTATGATTTGGTATATGACTGTCAGAGTTCATCTCAATATTTTTACCATGCATTATTCTTTCTGTTAGAATGTCATCATCCTGAAGATTTGGTATTTCTGTCATAGTGTGTAGAAAAGGGCAAAAAAAATATTGTGTGGAGGTCACTTAAAATATTACTCATAAAATTAGCCCTATGTCTGTTCTTCAAAGACCAACCTGAGGCCTTGCTCCACAAGCCCAGAGGTCTAGGACTGGTCACTTAGCTATGCACCCCAGCTCCATCTTGCCTACAACATCCTTCTCACATTTCTTGTTATCTTTTTATGATGTCTCCTTCCCTCTTTCTCTCTTACTTCCACCCATTATTCTTTTACCATATTTCATCTATACAAAAGTGTTGAGTTGATTGTTGGGTTTGAGGTAATTTTCATTGCATGTCTTCTTAAAGGCTAGACCACATTTATCACATTGATTTTAACTTTTATGTTATCACTGACCTAGGACTTTCAGTTTAACAAATTATCCTTTTCTTCTCCTTGTTCCATAAAAAAATATAAAGTCGTAATAATAAAGCCCCTTAAAACTGATACATAAAAGTAATTATTAAAGACTTACAAGTTTACTGTTGTCCTAGGAAAGGTGTACTCTGTAGCAAACTGATTTTTTATTTAAAGTTCAACATTATTATACCACGTTGTTACTTAAGATATTCTTTATATTACATTACTGCTGTTTTCTAAATACTTCTTAAGTTGTACTTATACCCACTTGTTGGGCATTACCAGTTTAAAATGCCCTGTCACTGTTTTGGGCAGTATTTTGAAAAGTTTAAACCCAAGGAGTTTAGGAAAATATTCAGGAAAGCACCCACCAATTAAACCACTGAAAGTTTTTTACATATATTTACTGGTTTTTGCCTTGCAAAAAGAATTTAAAATTAAAAGCTGTTATTTCTATCACCCTATGTGGCTGAATGGATTATAGAGATTTAATTCTGTGTTACTGTAATTAATGGTTATTATTCAAATGTAGCTGAATCTTCTTAAAAATATTAACATACTTTAAAACAAAAATAAAATATCAGAGTCAACTGGAAATGTATGAAAAGAGTTTAAATTATTTGAATCACATTCGGTCCTTGCATATCAATAAATGTCATTCACTGCTGAGTGGTCAAACCAAGTAATTCTGGGGCAGATAGGTAAATTATGTTTTGGCTTCTAAACATGAAAAAAAAGAATATTTTCTTTAGACTTTATTTAAGATATTTTTCTCTATATATTATATATATGTGTGTGTGTGTTTTTAGTGACTACTAGTAATACTGAGTGAATAATAGTGAGTGAATTGTTGGATATGTGCACTGAACTACTACATAACATGTTTTAGACATGTTATTTTTACATTGCGTTAAGACTGTACCCTGGACAAGATTCAGATTCGTGGACTTGTTTATCTTCTGTGTGAGGACAACTAACTGTCCAATGCCAAAATACAATGAACTTTCAAATATCAAAGAGGAAAATTAAGTATTTCAAGTCCTCAGCTGGTTTACAGATGTGTGAGCTTTGTAGTCCATTCTCTGGTTCCAGTAGGGCATTATGACAATTTTTTCAATATGTGTACACTAGATAAGTTTTAAAAGTAAAATCTCTTACTTTAAATATTGAACTTTCTGATTTGAAATTTTTTATGTTTATTTAATTCTAAAAATGAACTCTGAAATGAAGCTTCAAAATTAACAAAATATTTTTGAATGTAAAATGTATTAAATTAAGGAACTTCTCTCTGTCAGGAAAATAAATGCCTTTTGAAAACAGGTACTCATTTAGATCTATGATTAACCTTTAACAAGATCTTCCTGTTAAATTTTACATTTGCTTTAATCTCAGTAGGAAAAATACAAAATAGTATTGTAGCATATAGGGTTTCTGTATACCCTGTGGACATCAAATGATCTCTTACAGCTAAAGGCACATCTGCAACATATTTAAATGCCAGCTTTAGGCATTATTAGTATAAAATGCTAAGTCACTTTTCTTTGCAAATATTTTGAAAAGTTGAAAACTCCAAGAGGAAACTCCAGTGAATAGTAATTTTATGGTGCCATTTGTATCAAGAGAGTTGCAGAAAGATGAATGGCTGTATTGCATATTTTTCATTTAGGGAAAAGTAGCATGATAGCCTTCCTTAAAATAAGTGTGAAGCTTGGTAACGGTACCATTGTTGTACTAAAAACTGTTGTGTTTTTGTGCCATCTTTCACTATGCTATAAAATGATTTTAAATCTGTATTATCAATTGTAGAGGTAACATAGTCATGAAGTTTGGGGGGGGCTCCCTTCAAACTTTGAGAGTTCAAGGTTATGAAAGTTCAGGAATTATTATTAGTTTGTTTTAAATAATTAATCTGTCCTGCATTCATAATAATCCAAAACCTCACTGACTGATGTGCAAGTGTATAAATATTTTCTAGGTGACATTAATTGAAAAATTGTGATTCCACCATTGATTTTCTTTCTTCTAACTTGCATTTTTTACATCTGTCTTTTTCTTAAACATGACTCTGAAGGTCAAATATTCGGGACAATGTAGAAATGATTAAGCTTCATAAACAGCTAGTGGAGAAAAGCAATGCTCTTTCAGCAATGGAAGGAAAATTTATTCAGCTTCAAGAGGTACAGGGATAATTTATTTTATTATGATGTTACAGGGATGCAAAGGATTCAAAAATAGTATTCAAGTTGTTTTTAAATATAGAATGATTGTAATACTAAAACATTTTTAAAGATTGTTCTTTGTATTCACAAATGTGTATCATTTCCCTTAATATATTGTTTATTATTTATAACTCAAGTACTAAAGAAATAAATAACTTATTGGACTTTTTATAAATATCTGTGCCATCTTAAAGTAATAAACATATTTATTATAAATCATCTTGTACCAAGGAAATTTATTTTTACCTCCTTTTATCTGAATTTATTATGGACACATAAGTTTTTGCTATATTTGCATATAGCTTCAATTTTAAGCATTTATATAATTATTGACAATAGACCAAAGTGATTAATAGGTCAATAGTCATGTTTTGTTAAAGCTTTCTTTGATTTGGACTTTTTTTTGGTCACTACCCTTACCTGAAAGTATTTGATTACTCTTAATGTCAACTGTCAGTGTATTTATTTTAAACCTTAACCATTTAGGTTGACAATACTTGGGATTCTTTATGCCATGGTTGTTTTTACAAGGACTATGACCCCACAGGAATATGCCACCTGAAGGCTTCTATTTGTTGGCACTGCATAATTAACATAGGTTCTGGAGTTAATGAACTCCAAGACATTCCAGATTAACGGAATTTATATGAAGTAATACTTTCTTTGAAGTACTGAGGCAAGGAGAGCAGTAGATTGATGCAAAGCAAAGGGTCATCTGAAGCCTAAATTAACTGTTGAATTAGATAGTTAATATTTTTCAGCCATGCTCTGGGGATTTTGTTTTCCATTCTGCAGGAACCTCTTTAAATGCCAAGTGGTAACTACTTCTGCATAAATGTGAGAGTTTGAGTGAGAGTGATGGCGCTATGTACAGATAGTTAGAAAAAAGAAATTATAAAAATCCCTGTGATTGAAAACCATTTCTAAGATGAAGAATTAAGAAAGGAATTGAAAAATGATTTTACATTCTCATCAATTTGACAATTTTGATTTCTATTTACATACCAACAATAACAGGTGTCTACTACAGTACAGGCAGCTCTTTTGGAAGTTGACATAGGGTAAAAAATTGAGAGGTTAAGCCCAACAGCCTCAATGAAGTGTGGAGCAAAGAAGAAGATGTTCTATAATAATACCAATACGAAATAATACGAAAATTGACCTGAATGCCTCAATAGTCGTGTTTCATTTAAACAAGTGAAGAAAAACTTCAGTAGGACTTGAGAGATTTTAGTTAGCAGATGAGGCATTGCATGTTATGGTTATATGATCGCTCTGAAAAGATGTAAATTATGATCTCTCTGAAAAAATGTAATTAACTCTTTTATTTTAAAAAAAAACTATATGACATTAAAGTATATGAAACTGAATTTACAGCATGGTCATAAATTGACCATTTTTTAAAAATTAAGAAAAGTTCATAACTATTTTACTAAATTGGAAATTTTAGCTTAATTGTATTCAAATTAAAAGCTAGCCAGACAAGGCTATTTGTATGATGTAGTGGCGAATCCCTTCAGTTCATGTGTCTGTGGTCAGCATTTTTGACCCATGCTACAGCATTTTAGATAGCATGTCCAACCAATGTAACCACAGCAAAAAGAAAACAAAATTAATTGTTAAAACAAATTTACTTGCTGGTCACCATCAAGTCAAAAACTAGGAGGAAATAAAATACGTGACTCTGTGCTAAGATAACCCTGTATTTTCTTCTTCATGTTACACAGAGGTTCAGAGTGTCGTTACAAAGAAGTATCACATACACATAGTTTGTTATGTGAAAAATAAGCTGTATAATGTGAACCTCAGGAGTAAATTCATTTATAGAATTGTAATCATTTAGTCAAATGATTAATCATAATCCAAAAATAATGTTTAAAAGATTTTCTTTTTCTCTTTTAGAAGCAAAGAACTCTCAGAATCAGCCACGATGCCTTGATGGCAAATGGGGATGAGTTAAACATGCAACTTAAAGAGCAGCGTTTAAAATGTTGCAGTCTTGAGAAACAATTACATTCTATGAAGTTTTCTGAAAGAAGAACAGAAGAGGTAAGCTCCTGAAGAGTTTACCCATCTGTTACTTTAAAACTTCTTGGTTGCTGTTTTGAAAAAGTAAAATAGAGACATTTAAAAATTGTGCTTATTTAAAATTATAAGCTATATACATGGTGTTTTGAGCACAGCAAAATATACTAGTTAATATATGAATGGCAAATCAGTGCTTAACAATACTTGCAAATGTGCCAAGATCCACTGTTTACCCAGAGGATTAAAGATCCTTGAGTAAAATGAAAACAACATTTTGAAACTTAGGCCAGATTACCTATGGAACTTAACTTTCTCAGCTATCACAGCTTATTAATCATTTGAGAGACTAAAACAAAATAATAGGACTATGTCTCTTTCTGAGGAAATGGCTGTTATGTTCTGCATTATCAGTAATTTTGTGAAATTATCTAATATTTTTTAGGGAGTTGCTTGAAAACTCATCTTCCTATTATCATATTTTTTTCTGTAGCCTGTTAAGTTTGTTCCCTAGGAGAATGGAAGTGAAATAAGATGCCTGCATTCTGTTCTGATCTTGGGAGAATCTTTTGCTGTCTCATACTAGCATCAAAAGAGAATTTTGAAAATGGAAATAAAGTTTAAGGGTACTCTGATCCGTGAGGAAAAGTTGTGACTGCAAAATATACTTATGAATAAAACTTAAAAATAAATACTAGAGTACAGAATCTACGTTTTAGTCATAGAGATGTAATTTTTACTACATTTATTTCTGAAAATACTATTCATGGGCTAAAATAGTATATAATTTTATTCATTTATTCACAAAATGTGCTACTAGCTATTTGTAAATTTCAGATAATGTGAGAAATTGTATCTTCAGAGTAAATTGTGATTAACAACACGGTTTGAACGATGACCCTAAAAAATAGTTAATCCTTTTTTTTTATGGACCAATTGTAAATTAATACAAAATGAATATAATGACAGAGTTTATCATGGTGAAAAGTAAAAAATATTATGTTCCTCAGGACTTAGCAAGCTCTTAAAATATTCTTTATTGACTTCTGGCACATGTTGCATAAAGCAGTGCATACGTTTCTACTAAATTAAAACAGAAATATTAATTTCACGTTTATTTAACAACTTGGAAAGAATCAATGCTTAATTAAATACAGACAATATAAGTGGTCCGGTTAGCAGCTACAATTTAGGAATCAAGGTTAAAACATGTTAACCACCTCTCATAGAGAGATTTTTTTGTGTGTTTTGTTTAGTTTTTTTACCCCCAAGTAGTTTTATATGATATTTATTTAATATGTAATTTTCTTTTCATTTTAGCTGCAGGATAGAATTAATGATTTAGAAAAGGAACGGGAACTTTTAAAAGAAAACTATGATAAACTTTATGACAGGTAAATCATGATTCCACATGTTCTTTCATTGTCTTGTTTGAGCTCTTTTATAGCTAAGCATTTGCTGTTGTTGGAATAGATCGTGTTGATCAAAGAATTAGCAATAAATGATAGCAAAAAATATGCAAACTTTATAAAGGAAATAAAAGTTTTTTAAAGACATTGGTAATAAGTTGTTTAACCTGAGCAGTAGCCTTTCACTACTGAGGAAACCATATCACTTTGCTGCCAGTCAGCTGCTATCATTTATTGAATATTAACTATAAACTAACAGACACTGTGCTAGATACTCTTCATTTATTGTTATAAATTGTTCACAGCACCTTGAAATGTATGTATCATAAATACCCATTTTGTAGACAAGGAAGATGAAGCAGAACTAAGTAATGTTAAGAGGCACTTCCTACCTCTTTTTTTTTTTTTTTTTTTTTTTTTTTTTTTTTTTTTTTTCTTTTTTTTTTTTTTTTTTTTTTTTTTTTTTTTTTTTTTTTTTTTTTTTGAGACAGTGTCTCAGTTGTCCAAGCTGGAATGCAGTGGCATGATCATGGCTCACTATAGCCTTAACTTCCTGGGCTCACACCAGCCTCCCACCTCAGCTGCCTGAGTAACTGGGACCACAGGCACATGCCACCATGTCAGACTAATCTATTTAATTTTTTGGTAGCAATGAGGCCATCCTATGTTGCTCAGGCTCATCTTGAACTCCTGGTCTTAAGTGATCCTCCTGCCTCAGCCTCCCGAATTGCTGAGATTACAAGGGTGAGCTGCTGCACCCAGCCCATATGTTGTAAATGTATGAAGTCATAGAGCTTGTATTTGAACCTCTTTTGGTCTCTTTCCTAGACTTCATAGCTTATTAACTGAGAGTTATTCTGTTGGGGAAAAACAAAGTTGTTCTCTGTTCCGTATCAAGAGAAACACAAGCATCTTCATCTCAAGATAAATATTAAAGGGCTGCTTCAATTTTGTTTCTTAATCTGCTTCATAATTATGGTATTTTAGAAATTAATTCTTTCTGGTAATATTAGAAACAAAACTCTACTCCACATCTAAGTTTGGTTAAGTGATACAGGTGTGTGTGTGTGTGTGTGTGTGTGTGTGTGTGTGTGTGATTTTAAGTCTGTTTAGTATATGATACTGGTAAATGATAAATACAAGTTTACATGAAAGCAAATGTAATATGCATTTAAATACATATGTTATAGCTGATATTGAACAGCTACTTCTACTGGTCATGTGCAGAAACCTCAGAAAGTACCCATTAGAGCTACAAGTGCATCTTTAACATTTTAACTCTTTGTCTTATTTTTTATAAATTAAATTCACATTTTGTAAATTAAATAAATTATACCCAAGAAGTGTGGGGATAGGCTTTTACTTTTATTTACTTCAGGAAAGTTACCTAAATTAATGTAGGCATTATTTCAGTGGTTTGTATCATCTATGCTACTGACCTACTTGTGGTGACTGTCTTTGCACAGTGACTCGTTATGTTAAGGGTTACCAACAGCAGATTCAGACACCAGTTAAAATCATATGTGTGTGTGAGAAGTTTAAATGTCAGCATATAAATTGCACAGCACCCTATTAGAGAAGATATTATCCCTATTTTCTAAATCAGGGAATTGTGATTCCAGAAAAATTAAGACTTGTGCAGAGTCACGCAGCATTGCTGAGATGCTAGTTTAGAACTAAAACTCAGATGTTTCTTTAACCCTAAAACTTGAATTCTTTTTTTGCTATGCTGCACTGTCTCTCTGATTTTAATTGCACTGGAAAATTGTATATGTGGAAGGGAAACATTCATGGAATAACAGAATTGTTATACATCCAGAAATTCTTATTGATTTACATATATTTTCAATATCTTGTAATTTCAAATAATTTAACATAGTCTAAATAGAAGAAAATAAGTATCATATGGCCATTACTTCAAAATTTTCTACTTCTCCCCAGTTTAAAAATTTGCTGAACATACTTACTTGGAATTTTTTTTTTAATCAATCTTAGCTGGGAATAATATATAAATGAAATTTTGAGAAAGTCATGTTTTTCTCATATTTACTTTCCCACCATAAAACTTTATCTTTCCATATTAGAAGATGATCTAAGAGTGTAAATTTGAAGGTTTTTTTTTTAAATATTTTATGCTTGAGCTAACTTTCTTTTTCCTGTCACACTAAAAGGAGACTTCATTATGCTGCTCACACGTGAAGTTTATGTGAGGTATATGTGTGTAATGAGTGTCAGAACATTTAATGTCAAAAGAAAAATTAATGTCACATAAGCACAAAACCCAGCAAACACACGTACTAGTCAACAGAACTAAAGAATTCTCTAATATAATGTTTTTTAAATATGTAACACATTTTAGAAGTATACTTGGAGAAACTCGACAGAAGTCAACATTGCCCCTAAGATTCTTTATAGCTCTTTTGTTTCATGACACTGTTATTCGTCATTGCCAACAACTAATGTTCATCAAAAACTACACACACTCCCTGTTTGGTTAGTCATAATGATAGCATGTTTTAAAAAGGACGGCATTTGTTTGTTATTCAAAATTGACTAGTTTTCAGAAGAAAAATATGATTCACAGATTGCATTCTCATCTTCCTTTTTCAAATGAAACTTTGAATGTGTTTATTACTTGACATATGACATATTAGAGAATCATCAGGGAAGATAAAACCCTCATGTTACTTTTTGGTATGAGCCTTTTTTAATATGTGAAAACACTTTTTAGACACTGCCAAGAAATACGTATAATTTTAAGAAATGTTCAATTTAAAAGTTCAGAATGTGTTTTTTGCAATTATAGCTTTCTACTGGGTCAGAGAGAAGTTGTATACTGTGGTATGTAATATGGTAATATATTATTATACTATGATTTGGTAATGCTGTGTTCCACTTTTGAAGTTAGTTTTGGAGGCATCTACCTGATAAATGTAATGGTTCCTCAACTATAATGTATACAAATAACCTGGAAAACTTATTAAAATGTAGGTTTCACCACCTCTTAGAGCTTCTTCGCCTATCTGCCTGTACCCCCTCCCTCTGCCCCTATACCATCCAATTCTGATTCAGTTAATTTGAGACTGGGTCCAAAAAAACCTGTTGAACGTGATTTTGAAGCATTAACTCCTTGAGAGACACTAATATAATGCCTATTTTTAAAAAGTGTTCATCTAGTTGTTAAGATAATGTTAACCTTTTTAAGAATTGGGTGGATCAAGTTTTTATGAAGTGATAATCATCTAATCCTCAAAATGTAAAAGAGCACTGCTGACACCCATAGATGCTCTGTCCTCTGTTTCTGTAAAGTGAGCCTCTGTGCCCTGTAACCTTCTAGAAACCATAAAATCTCGTGTGATCCAATATGAGCAGTTTATGCTTCCCAGAAATCAAACTCCAAGTACATTTGAGTCATCATCTTCTTTCAGTAAGTGAAATATCCTGATGTAAATATGAATTTAATTTTCATTAGGCCCTAAATAAAGTACCTATGATTAAAAAAAAAAGAGAGAAAGAGACAGGCCGGATGAGGTGGCTCATACCCATAATCCCAGCACTTTGGGAGGCCGAGGCAAGTGGATCACGAGATCAGGAGTTTGAGAACAGCCTGACCAACATAGTGAAACCCCATCTCTACTAAAAATACAAAAATTAGCTGGTAGTGGTGGTGTGCACCTATAATCCCAGCTACTGAGAAGGCTGAGGCAGGGAGATCTCTTGAACCCAGGAGGCAGAGATTGCAGTGAGCCAAGATCACCCCACTGCACTCCAGCCTGGGTGACAGAGTAAGACTCCAGCTAAAAAAAAAAAAAAAAAAAAAGAGACAAGATCTTGCCCTGTTACCCAGGCTGAAGGCAGTGGCGCAATCATACCTCACTGTAATCTGGACCTCCTATATTCAAGCAATCCTCCCACCTCAGCCTCCTAAGTAGCTAGGACTATAGGCATGTGCCACCACACCTATCTAATTTTTATTTTTATTATTATTATTATTTTGAGACAGAATCTCACTCTGTCACTAGGCTGAAGTGTAGTAGTGTGACCTCAGCTCATTGCAACCTCTGCCTCACACGTTCGAGCGATTCTCCTGCCTCAGCCTCCCGAGTAGCTGGTATTACAGGTGTGCACCACCACACCTGCCTAATTTTTATATCTTTAGTAGAGACAAGGTTTCACCATGTTAGCCAGGCTGGTCTCAAACTCCTGACCTCAAGTGATCTGCCCACCTTGGCCTCCCAAAGTGCTGGGATTACAGGCATGAGCCACCATGCCCAGCCTTTAATTTTATCTTTTATAGAGCTGGGTCTCTCTGTGTTGCCTAGGCTGGTCTTGAACTCCTGGGCTCAAGCCATCCTCCTGCCTCAGCCTCCCAAGGCATTCAGATTACAGGCATGAGCCATCATACCCAACCACTATGGATTTCTTTATGGACAATTTTGAATTTATTCTTTCCTGTCCTCACATTAGGTTGCCTTTAAACATTGTACAAATGAAATTTCTTCTGTAAAAAGGAATGATCTTAGTGAGTAGGTGAAGAATTTGGCTTTATTTAGATCTTTATCATGTTTTTGATCAAGGGTGTCCACTTACAGTGTGCTGACCCGTGTCTGCCAGTGGACATGTCAGTGACCACAAGCAGCAATGGGCATTCCACTGCAGACTGACTGACGCTTTATCAGTTCTGCAACATCATGTAACGACAAAATGTGTACAAAGACTATGATCCCCCTTCAGTTGCATATAGGCAATATGCAAAAAGATTTTCATGAATAAAAGGTTTTCAAAGACTCTCATAAGTGTCTTTTCCATGAAACATTTTCATGAAAAAAAGGTTCTCATATGCAGATTTAATCATGTACACAGCCCTTACAAAGAAAATGGAGCCAGATGTGGTTCACCATTTATAGTTACACAGATGGCTCTAAGCATAGAGAAATACAGTAAATTCAAAAGGAATTCCTCATGAAACTCCAGTGGAATGTAATCCTGAATTTAGAGGGAAGAGAGCAGTGGACTAAATTCAGATTGACTTATGCTGATTTACACTAGTATTTTGTGGGTTTGGAAAAACCAGGCTGCTAAATTGTTCTTAATTTAAACACATAAAGCTTCTGATGTTTCTGCCAGATTAGCTGTTGGTGATCTTTTTGCTGGTACTAATGCTATTGGAACACTACTGTTTCTAATTTTCGGCATCTGATATAATGTATAGTTGTGCCTATTTCATCATGCTAATTTTTTTTCTGGGTGGTACATGTTTTTAATAAAACAAGAAACATGCATATACATACACATACGTATGCATAGATGTATGCACGTTTGTGCATACATATGTATGTGTTTGGTATATACAATTTGACCATACGTAGATATTATATTTGTTCTTTATTTTAAAAACAAACATGAAAAGGAGTATTATTTAGTTTAGCATTTAAAATACATATTTTATTTGGATTTCACTTAATTCTAGGTCATCGTACCTTTGATAAAATCAACTTAAATAATTGTATATAGATCCTACATTTTTTTAAGGTTCCATAAGTGAAATGAAAACACTGATAAAAGAAACAGATGTCATATTTAGAGAAGCTTCCAGAATTCCATTTATTTTCAAGGTCATGTTATCTTAAATGCAGTAAAAATATTCAAAATGTGAAATGAATACACAATTTTGCTCTTTTGAAAAGCTGTGCCTCCCAGAAAAGTATCTTTTCTGGAATAAAAACTGAAGACTGTCTGGGAGCAACATTAGGGGAATTTCCAGTCATATGTTTCTTTTCCATTTACTTCATCATCAGTGTAAAACCAGATTTTATAAGATTTTGTTATATTTACTGGGCTTAAAATATGTAGAATGGTCAAAGCTGCTAATGATTATTCATCAAGCTTCACAGATAATGCTTTTCTGCTGAAATACTGATCAAGATCAGTTTTTCCAAAACCTGGCTATCATCTGGGGAGCTTTATAAAAATATGAATACCTGGGTCCTGGGATCCTCATTTTAAAATCCCTCTAAGTGTCCTTACTGCAGCTGACCCACCACCGGTATTTAGGTCAGCATTTAGGAACCACTGGCATGAACAAATGTTTATTGTATACTTTCTGTGCATCATTTCATTATTTTTTAACTGGTTCTTTCTTTTGATATACTGGGTATTGATCATTAGCAGATTTTAACTATGATTTAAACTTTTATTGAGGAATAGTAATTCTATTTTCGTCATTCCTATCAGGAACAGAGCATTGATTTTCATCCCAATCGTGTTGCAAGTAAAACTGTTTTTAGCTATTGTTTTTTGTTTTTTAACAAAAACTGTATTATCACTACTTTTTAATCAATGTCAGAATGACTGACTTGTGGTTCACTATGCTATCATTTTGTGGCCAGTATTTTGTGAACATGTTATTATCACAGACTCTTTAAAAAGTTTCACAGAATTAAAGATCAGGTGCAAAGTCCATTTTCTCTGTATTAAGAGGTTTGTATGTGGGAGAGAATGGTTTTGCCCGATGTCAATTGCTGAGATTTGGAATTGTGGATTCCTCTGGAGTATGTACAGTATCTGAATTCCTTTACTAGTCCCACAAAAGCTGCACACTGCCAACTTTTCTGACTTTAGAGCTCTAAATTAAGGCCAGTTCCTTTGCTCATCCCACAAACTCTTTCATGTTCCTTAACCGCAGCCTGAGAAAGGCGCCTTGGTTTCAACAGCAGCAGACCAGCTTATGTTTACTTAATTCCTAAGACATGATGACAGTGGTCTCTGTGCCACTAAAAGCTTTTCTCTTTATTATTTTCGGTTGAAACTGATTTCCAAGCTTTCCTTGCATGTCACGTGTGTTTTGCAGTGCCTTCAGTGCTGCCCATGAAGAGCAATGGAAGTTAAAGGAGCAGCAGCTGAAAGTACAGATTGCTCAGCTTGAGACTGCCTTGAAATCTGACTTAACAGACAAAACTGAAATCCTTGACAGATTAAAAACTGAAAGAGGTACATATAAAATAATCACTGCCTTACTCATTTCAGACATCTAATGTTTCTTTATTGAATCAATACTTACTCTGGTACCTACTGTTTGCCAGTTGCCCTGCGATTTATGAGGGACAGGCATAGTCATCTACTCTCATGAATTTCGTGGTTGCTCAAAATTCCTCGTGCTCAGCCTAGTGTATGTGCCAAAAGAATTACTTTTTCTCATAGCTATTCATATTTAGGTTGTTTTTAATTGTTAAATTTTCCTAAATTCTGAGCCTTTCTTTACTCAACAGTCAACAAATATTTATTGAGCACCTTTTAGTGCTAGGCACTGTTCTAAGTTGTGAGGATACAGCAATGATCAGAAATAAAGGTCTTGCCCTTATCAAATATAAATTCAATAGGGAAAAACTAACAATTAAATAAATATGGGATATGTGATGTGGTGGCAAGTGTAATGGCACAAAACCACTAGTGTAAGATGACAGAGAGTGACAGAAATAGTAACTTGCTATTTTTGAGAGTTCAAATAGGGAATATCTCTCTGATGAGATGTCTTAATTCTACTGTGTGACAGTGAACTTAAATACCAGGAAGCTGTGTGCCCCCTGCTAAAATAATAATCACTATTAAGTTTCAGTATAAGTCACAGATCTCATAGAAGTAAAATAATTATAATTAAAGAAGTCTGAATTTTACTGTGTTACTCACATTTACACACAAATGCACAACAGGGGAAACGAATTATTTGCTTCAAGTGTTGTTATCTGTTTGCTCATGCCCTAAATAAACCCAAGTCATGTGCTAAGAAAGTTACTTCTTTTGAACATTTGCTATTCAGTTGCATGAGAATGTTTAAAAGTTCAATACAGGCTCACTATAAAACAGTTATGTTTCTAGTTAGTATTCCTATGCTTTTATTTAGACCACAATGCCATATTCCACTGACTATAAGGAACATTATCTTTTCCTATTTTAACATCTCTAATATTGAGTTGCATCCTATAAGTGATAGCATTTTTAAAATTGCAGTCTGACGTTTTTTTCCCATTTTAGCAAGTCTGAAATTATTAGAACACATCTTATAATCAATGGAGTCTTAATTTCAGTGAAACACACTAGTGCAGTGTTTATTCACCAAGTGACTACATTTGATGATAGATTTTTTATGAAGTTTTCTCTAGAAGACTGTGAGTGGAATAAAATGGTGATGACAGGTTTTCTGACCTAGTGGATTTTTTTAAAAAGTTTTCATATCAAAGATACATACTGTTCCTGATTTTAGTGTGCAGTATCAAATACCTAACAGAGTGCTTTGCTTGAGTACTTGCTCAATAAATTCTTGTTTAGGTAAAAAGTGGAAGTGCTCTATATTCCCTCTCTCTTTTCCAAGAACAGTTAAATTGCTCATTCTTAAAGGGAAAGAAATGAAATAAACCATTTTTATTTCTATGCTTTCTGTATTTATTTAGATATCAAGAATTCCAAAGCTGTTTTATCTTTTGGATATCTGAACTAATCTCTACAAAGAAGCTTTTCTTAAGGAGGGTAGAATCTTAGGGGTTTTTTAGACCTGTTTATATCGTTGAATTAATTCTGAATGTTCTTACTATGTGTTAAGGTTGCTAAGTTATTTTAATTTATCTAGTTTATTCCTTATCTTTTTTACTGGTTCTTTTATCTTTTGGGAATATTTTTCAATAATAAACATAACTCATGTACACTATGGAAAAAAGTCTAGTAGATTATAAAAATCAATTCCACAACCCACAAAATATTAGCAAAATAATCACTGCTAATATTTTATTTATGTTCTTTCAGAGTTGTTTCTAAATGTATAGATATAGTTTTATAATGTGCCTTTTTTTGCTATATTGTAAAATCATTCCTTGAATATAAATATAAATCTACATCAGAATCATTTATAATGGCTGTTACAGTTTTCCAGTGTGTGAATGGACCCTGGATTATTTAACAATCTTCTATTGAATATTTAAGTACCTTCGGTTTTCTGAAGTACCACAAACAATATCTTTCTACACAAATTTTTATACATTTATCCAATTTTTAAAGAAAAACTGCTAGAACTGAATCTTTATTTTTAATGCAACTATTATTTTCCATTTATTTTTGTTTGAATACCTCAAATTTACAAGTCTAAGGATTTAAGTTTTTGTTTCTTTGTCGAAATGTTACAATGGGTTATAAGAAAAATATTACAGCCTTTAACCATTTTTTCCAGGGAAATAATACACAAAAAAACCTGAAACTGTCTATTTAAAAAAATCTTTTAATATTTAGAAAGTTCCATTTTGTGTTACAGATTTTGAAATTGTTTAATTTTACTTTGAAGTGTCTTCATACATTTACCTTCTCATGTATCAAGTGTTCTTTGCCAGAAGATGTTTCCCTGGCTTCTTGTAGTCATTCATCTAACTGGCAAATTATTTTTAGAGAATATTCACCTCTTTATTCAAGGTACAAATTAGTTTCAGATTGTGTGAATATGTGGGGGAAGGATATGTAAATGCAGTTTGCATTTGGTTAATACTTAAATTAACTGCATGTGTTTAAGGGCTTGCTTTTGAAAGTTCCTTTCTATCTTTAGCTGAAATGCATAATTCAGCATAATGCATATGGTTATATTGATCACAGCTGAAGATATTAGCACAAAGGCGCTCTGAAAATTGTTTAGTTGAATTGTTCTCTGCACTCTGCTTATTAATGGTGTGCTGAAAGAACATAATTTTAAAAGAGTGAAATGTTATCTCATTTGAATAAAATGCTGTTTAGCTTAACCTGCTTTTTGTCAAATCATAAGGTAAGGAGGTTATTTTTCATCTTGTACAGAGTGCTTTGATTTTGCCTATTATAATTCAGCAAGTATATTTCCTCTTTGAACTATAGCATTTCAGTACTTTTTAAAGACCCAGGAGTTATGTCTCAAATGAACAGTTTGAGAAAGGAAAAATGTAGTGGATAATTCTAAATAAAATTCAGTAGAAGGTAAGTTACTGGTACTCAATAATGTCTTTTCCCACTAAGTTATTTTTCTACTAATAATGCCCATGTTTTAAAAACATCAGTGAATGTAGATATCATTGTTGAAACAAAAATTAGGAAAGGCTGGAAACATTTAAATAAGTTTATTTCTACCTAATAACATATAGGAACCCTGTTCTGAAAAATTAAAAGCAAAAGAAAACTAGAACATAGAAATAATAATCAAAATACAGTGTGTCTGGATAAACGTGGAACAGTCAGGTCCTTTACACTTTAGCTCACTCTTAGAAACCCTAAAATGTTTTACTGGCCAGAGAATAAAATTATATTATCCTCAGTACCTTTGTTTTTACATGCTTCAGACTATATTTACCTTCTTTTTGTTACCTAACCATTCTATCTAGATGTCATTTTAACTTAATCAACGTAAAGACTCCCATATCCTTCTAGTCCCTAAAAAAAAGTTTATCTTATATGCATCCATATTTATTATTCATCTTAATTTTTAGTTTAAAGATAAGAATTTGATCTATACCTTCAAAGTTTTCAAGTATTGTTCACATTTGGGTATTCTTTAATTAACTAGATATAAGCAATTTATACTCTAGGATAACCTTTTAACCTTCTATCAATAAGACAAAAATATTTATACAGTATATTTGTTTTTTGTTTTTTGTTTTGAAATGGCGTCTCAGTCTGTCACCCAGGCTGGAGTGCAGTGGTGTGATCTTGACTTGTTCTAACCTCCGCCTCCCAGGTTCAAGCGATTCTCCTGCCTCAGCCTCCTGAGTAGCTAGGATTACAGGTGCTCGCCAGCACACCCAGCTATTTTTTGTATTTGTAGTAGAGACGGGGTTTCACCATATTGGTCAGGCTGGCCTCAAATTCCTGACCTCATGATCTGCCCGCCTTGGCCTCCCGAAGTGCTGGAATTATAGGCATGAGTCACCGTGCCCTGCCTTGGTATTAAAATGTCTCCGTATTGCCTAGGATCACAGTTTTTTTTGTTGTGTTTTTTGTTTGTTTGGTTTTGGTTTTATTTTTTTACTTTTTAGACTGCCAAGAAATATGTGATATTAAAAACATCCAAGCTTAGCCCATTTATTCCTAACTATGTAATTTAACATTTTTATTTATATGTAGTATTTATAGCTTGGAAACACAGTGCCTTATAAAAGTCAGAAACATATTTTTGTTTAAAATGCAGTCAGTATGCAAATACATTTGTGCAAAGAATTCTTGGCAAATGTGTTGATTTTTTTAAGAAAATAAAAATGTGCAGTGTAAAGTGAAGGCTTATGATAAACATAAATGGTTGAGAGAAGGATAAAATCGGTAGAGATACTTTAAATGACGTGGTTTAGAGTTAGCCCACAGGGAGTCAACAAAGAAGGATACCTGAGTGCCACAGTAAGCTCTAGCAAAGAGTACATTTAAGAATGTGAAATTAACAAATGCTGTGGATTTGTTCACTAGCTATTACGCTTTCTTAAAAAAAAAAAAGAAAAAAAGTTAAACATGTTTAATGCAGGGAGTGAAAAATTAGTCTCTTTATGAATTTGCTGTCTTCTAAAATTCTACTCTATTCTCCTGCTTGTGGGTCATAGCAGCGGAGTGCCTAGACAAGCATAACCATTATTCCATTTCTTAGCACCAGCTGCAAGTCCATTCCTACTGATTATAGCACGAACTCAGTGAATGAAGATACATTTGAATTTATTTATTTTTTTGGGCAGGGTGTGGCTCTGTTGCCCAGGCTGGAATGTAGTGGAACAATCACGGCTCACTGCAGCCTCAACTTCCCAGGCTCAACTTATCCTCAGCTTATCAACTTCCCACCTCAGCCTCCCAAGTAGATGGGACAACAGCATGCACCACCATGCCCAGCTAATTTAAAAAAAAAAAAAAATTTTGTAGAGATGGGATCTCCCTATGTTGCCCAGGCTGATCTCAAACTCCTGGACTTAAGGGATTCTGCTGCCTCAGCCTCCCAAAGTGCTGGGATAATAGGCATGAGCCACCATGCCCAATCCACATGAATCATTATTAATACCACCATGCGTGGCTTAAGAATCCATTCCTCCTATTGTAATAGACCTATTGGAAGTATGGTTGACTAAATTATGGTTTCAGAATTTATCAAAGAAATTACCTTTTTAAATTTTTTTATTTTTATGGATTTAGAGGGGGGGGTACAAGTACACTTTTGTTACATGAGTATATTACATAGTAGTGAAGTCTGGACTTTTAATGTAAACATCACTCGAATATAATGTACATTATACCCAACAGATAATTTCTCATCCCTCAGCCCCCTACCATGTTCTGGAAGTTACTTTGTTTTAATAAAGATACTATGTGCTAAGTTGGGAAAATAAAATTCAAAGATGTCAATTAAAAAACTAAAAGACAATTTTTTTTCACATGCTTTTCAGGACCTTTAATAAGTAAGTAAAAAAACCATAGATTTAGAAACACATTTTCTCAGGTATTTTAAATAGAACATTCCTTTGAACTCCCAGAGACCACAATTTCCTTATATTAATATTGTGAACTTATGTCTTGGGTTTTCGATAAGCAAATGAATCATATGGTAGACACATGATAGTGTTCATTTATTCCTCATTCCCCTGCTGTCTTTGTTGAGGTGCTAGCACTGTTTCCTTTCTGACCAGAACAATGCTAGATCAAGATTGGTGTGTAACAGGAATTAAAGTAATTTGAAATGTGTTCTTAAACCTGATTTGTACTTACCTTTCCAATTCTGTTGACTTTATTTTTAAGACCAAAATGAAAAACTCGTTCAAGAGAATAAAGTACTGCAGTTACAGTATCTGGAACAAAAGCAGCAACTTGATGAACTTAAAAAACGTGTGAAATTTTACAACCAGGTGAATTATTTTCTTATTTAGGAAATAAAACTCAGAATTTTTATCTCAATATTTTATGCATAGAGAAAGCACTATACTACAAAGCAAAAGAATTCAGATATATTACTCAGTTTATTAACTCGTGCTATCAGGTAGTTTATGTCCCATAGGGATATTCTGAAGCGCTTGAATGTCTCATAGACTTAGTTGGTTAGTTCATGGCATCAGGCAGCTTATGTTTCATGAGGATAATTTGAATAGTTGGAATGTCTCTTGTGTTTTCCATTAATAAGTCATTGTGAGCTTTTATTTAATCCATTGTAGGAGAATGATATTAATGCTGATGAATTGAGTGAAGCTCTCCTACTTATAAAGGTAAGGTTCTGAATTTCATCGTGATTTTCATGTCTGCCTACAACTGTTTCAGCATAATGATGACCCTTATCTGTAACCCTTACATTTGGAGAATGGATTATTCTTGCATCTTCTGAAACTTAGTATGCCTTTTATAAATATATATGTCACATATCAACACTACTGACTCAGGAAAGTAGTCAGGTGACATTTAGTTATAGCATATACATATTTCATAATGACATCAAAGTTACATTAAAACAGACCTCAAAAACTTTCATTTAATACACTTTCTTTAATTGTAACAAACATTTTACTTTTATCTGCTTTACTATGTAACTAATCAACAATTTTCTGCCCTAAAAAACCTTGATGCACACCCTGTTAAGTAAAATATTGAATTATAAATGTCTCAAGAAGATAGTTTTTAATTCTAGAATATTCTATTATTTACAAAAAGAGACAAAAAATACACTTCTTTCCTTTTAGATCATGGTGTAGATTTTAATCAAATGAAGAAATAAAAATAAATGTACATGATTCTTTTATGTGTCATAAAGTAACAAACTGTTTTCTGATTTCTCTATAACTGTTCCAATTGTCTATCCAAATATTTGAATCTGATTAACAGGTAAATTCATTTTTTCCATCAGGAATGAAGCAGTCGTGATATATATATATATGTATATATATATATATATGTGGACTTCCTTTATCTGTTTTCAGTTAATGAAGTTGAAAATTGATGAATTGTTTATTGATAAATCTGTATTAATTCATAAAATCACATTTTTAGAAATGTTTGTTTCATTAATAAAACATGTTTTTATTTTAGGCTCAAAAAGAACAAAAAAATGGAGACCTTTCCTTTTTAGTGAAAGTAGATAGTGAAATTAATAAAGATCTAGAACGGTCTGTGAGAGAGCTGCAAGCAACTCATGCAGAAACAGTGCAAGAGCTTGAAAAGACAAGGAATATGCTAATTATGCAACATAAAATTAATAAAGATTATCAGGTAATATGATACAATAAATTGGGAGAGGAAGTTTTCTATAATCTGCTGATGATTTACTTTTCTAAATACAATATGTTATCACCTGTTATCTATTAATATCGTAATCTATTAACATATCACATCTCTGGAATGTAGCCTTGTAACTAGGTACTTAGTTAGAATAAATAATTTTAAAACAAATAATGTGGGTTTTTTTTCTGGTTTTTTTGAAACAGAGTTTCACTCTTGTCGCCCAGGCTGGAATGCCATGGCATGATCTCAGCTCACTGCAACCTCCACTTCCTGGGTTGAAGTCATTCTTCTGCCTCAGCCTCCCAAGTAGCTGAGATTACAGAGGCCTGCCACCACACCCAGCTTATTTTTGTATTTTTAGTAGAAACCGGGTTTCACCATGTTAGCCAGGCTGGTCTCGAACTCTGACCTCATGTGATCCACCCTCCTCGGCCTCCCAAAGTGCTGAGATTACAGGCGTGAGCCACCGCTACCAGCCAGAAATAATGTTTTTGAAGTCCCTGATTTTAGGGAATGAGTAGTGGCAATGAAATTGCCTCTATTAGCATTAGCACATTCTGCAAGTAAGTTGTAGTTATCCTGAAGTCATGCCACAACTGCATTGTGTTAGCCTTTCACAAAATGAAAACGCATCTCCATAAAAGGGAATCTGGAGTTTTATCCTACTTCTGATTTGTGAATATTGCCAAGCATGATTTTCTAAAGTATAAGGTATTTGAAGTCAAGAAATCATGGTTTATAGCTCCTGCTATTTCCAGGATCTAGAAAATGCTTGAATCATAGTTGCTTTGAATAATGAAAATAGAACTAATCATAAGTGTTAAAATTTATTGTCTCATATTTTGTAGATGGAGGTTGAGGCAGTGACCCGTAAAATGGAAAACTTGCAGCAAGATTGTGACCTCAAAGTGGAGCAGTATGTTCATCTTCTCGACATCAGGGCTGCACGCATCCAGAAACTAGAAGGTACAACATACACAATTTTTTGTCCACAATAACTAGAGGAATGGATTTTATAACAGTTGATAATGTCATCCAAATCTGCACTAAGAGTGTATTTTTGCTGTGTATTCCCCTAATTCATAGCTAACTCGCTGCAGCTTTTCCCTCTTGGGTTCAAGCAGTACTCCTAATTTTAGATTTTTTGTAGAGCCTATGTTGCCCAGGCTTATCTCAAACTCCTGGGCAAAAATGGTCCTCCTGTCTCAGCCTCTTAAAGTTTTGGGATTACAGGCCCGAACCACCTTGCCCGGCCTTGATTCTTTTCTACTCAAGAATTCTTAATAATTCCTACTGCTTTTTAAATTCAGTGTTGCAAACAAGATTTCAGAGTACTTTGTAAATTACTACAGACTCAAATTTACCACACCTTTCTAATTTCTCTTCTAAGCAACCTCTGCACCTCAGCCAAACAGGTCCTCTGCCTGTCATGCTCAGGCCACTGCCATGCCTTTTTTTCGTGCTGTTTGCCCTGCCTAAACCTCCTTTCTGCCATGATTCCAAGATACACACTTCCCTGCTTTGAAATCTAACACAATGCTCACCTGTGCTGGGAAGCTGGTTCTAATTATTCCTAGCTGTCCCTCCACTTGAAATGCCTTTACAGTGATCTTCAAACTCTAACAAGTAGTAAAATCACTTGAGGAACTTGTTTAAAATGTAGTTTCCTGGGCCCTACCCCTAGAGGTCCTGGGACCCATGCTTTTTTTTATATTGTATTTAGAAATAACTGCAAGCTATTCAGATGCAGGTACAAGACTACACATTGAAAAAAACTAGCTCAGCCCTTACCAACCCAGTCATCTTCTCATATACTCAAAAGCTTTATGTTTAGGGAGCATGTAAGTGTTCTTCAGTTGTTGGAGTTTTGCATATTCTCCATAATGACAATGTAAGTTCTACAGTGGTAAGTACTTTGTCTCTCTTTCATGTCCACTGCATACCGTACTCACTTCAGTGGTCTATGCCAGCAGGAATTTTATACTCTTAAAGCTTATTGAGGTTTGAGAAGGCCTTTATTTGCGAGTTATACTTACTGATATTTATCATAACAAATTAAAAGTGAAAAAAATTTTAAATATTTTTAATTCATATTAAAATAATAAACTTATTACATGTTAACATAAATTGCAGTATTTATTTTTTTTTAAAAGTTATATTTTCCAAAACAAAATACTGTGAGAAGGGGGGCTTTGATTAAAATTTTTTAAATTTTTAACATTTTCACAAATCTTTATAGAGGCTGGCTTAATAGAAAACAGCTGGATTTTTATACCTGCTTCTGCATTTAGTCTGTTGTGATATCACACATCATGTAACCTCCAAGAAACTCCATTATACACTTGTAAGAGGATAAAAATGAAAAGGGCAGATGACATTTTAGCATTATTATAAAAATAGCTGTGACCTCACAGACCCCCGAGATGGTTTCAAAGGCCTTCAGGGGTTTCCAAATCACACTTTGAGAACCTCTGATCCGGGTAGAGGAGTTCAATAAATATCTTTATCTGACGAAAGTGGACTTTCCAAAAGTCAAGGAGCAGTATGTACCTTTTATTCCAAGTAGTACTCAATAAAAATTTGCTTAATGGAATTTTCTTGGTTAAAAGGAAAGTCACAGAGTTTGGGATTTTCTTTCAAGTCTTACTAAATTTTTACCATCATATTTTATCTGTCCCCTAAATTCATTGATTCACTCCATAAACATGGTTAAGCCCCTAATGCATCCTAAGCAAAGTGCTGAGCAGGGAGAATACAAATAGGAAAAATCTGAGGCACTACCCTCATAGAACTTCTAAGATGTTGACAGATAAATAAATGGTTATGCTTTACTCTGAAGAGTGAAAAGCTAAGGAAATCTAAAGGTATCAAGGAAACATGGAGGAGAGAATGCCTATTTCTACCTCAAGATTCAGGGGAGACTTTACACAGTAGGTATGGAGTCTTTGAAGATCACAGAAGTCACTACTAAGTAAAAGTAATATAAGGCATTCCAGGCAGTAAGCAAAGCAGGGAAAAGTACCCTAAATATGAAGCGTTGCAGTACATTTGAGAAACTGCACTATAGATCCATCCAATTGGAATTCAGGAAAGTCAAAAAGGAAGGAGAACCTAGAGATAAAGCCAGAAGAAACAAAACCATGAAGGTCCTGTTTGCCATCCTGATTGATGAGGTGGGCCCTTAATAACCTGGAGAACCACTAAGGGATTTTAAGGAAGGGAATGATACACTCAGAATTGCATTTTGGTGATTATGCTACAGGTGCTGAGGAGAAAGAGGAAGATTTGAAGGAAGGAAGCATTTTGAGTTCCATAATAATCTAGGTAGTAAACTAGGAATATATATTAGGTACAGTGCAAATAGTGAGGACAGGAACAAATTTGCTGAAGAGTTCGGAAATAGCATTGAATAGTAGTGACCCTATAGATGTGAGGCAAACACAAGAAAAAGGGGTGCTGTTTTATGATAATCTCAAAAAAGGAAAGAGGGACATCTAGGTTGACTCTCTCAGATCCAGCTTGGGCAACTGGATGAATGAGTGAATCATCACTTGAGATTTAAAGTACAGAAATAGCAAGAAGACAATATGGGCCGGGCACAGTGACTCACGCCTGTAATCCCAGCCCTTTGGGAGGCTGAGGCAGGTGGATCACTTGAGGCCAGGAGCTCAAGACCAGCCTGGCCAACATGGCAAAACCCTGTCTCTGCTAAAAATATTTTTTAGTCAGGTGTAGTGGCAGGTGCCTGTAATCCCAGCTACTCAGTAGGCTGAGGCAGGAGAATCACTTGAACCTGGCAGGCAAAGGTTGCAGTGAGCCGAGATTGTGCCACTGCACTCCAGCTTGGGTGACAGAGTGAGACTCCGTCTCAAAACAAACAAAATATGATAATTCTGTTTCGGACATGTTGAATGGGATATGCCGGTGGAATATCTAGATAGATAGAGGGGTAAGAAAAACATTAGAAACATAGGAATGGAGTTGAGAAAATAAATATATGAATTTAAAATAGCAATATGAAAGCCTTTAGAGTATTGATAATGACAAAAGTCATAAAAGTTGATGAGATCACTCATAAGAATATATAGACTAAGGAAATAATTGAAAACAGAAGCCCAGAAAACTAGCGGAGAAAGAGAAACCCGAAAAGAATGAGAAGAAGGACAGGAGAAGAAGCAGAGAAGATGACAACATGGAAGCCCAGGTGGGACAGAAGTTCACCAATGGGAAAGCTGTCATCAGTGGCAAATGCAGCAAAGAAATCAGGCAATACAAGGACCAACGTTCATTGCATCTAGCCATTCATTGATTATTGGTGGCTTTCTCTGGAGCAATTTCACAGAAAAGTAAGGCAGATATCCACACTGGTGAGATCTGGTTGGCCTATGTATACAACTGTGAAACCATCATCACGACGATCAGGATAATTAACATATCCATCACCCTACAGAGAAGAAAAGCACAAGTCTCAATAAGTCAAAGGGAAGGAGACAGCAGAAAAAGAGACTGCCTTTATAGGAAAGAAGACTGAGTAGAGCAGAGACAGGGAAGCAGGTGAAATCCAAGTAGTTACCTCAGCTGTTCCTTCAGAGGTCTTTTTTTCTTTTGATATTTTTCTCCCCTTTTTCCTAGCTTAGGCTGTATTACAACTGAAGTTGCAATTTTGTTGTTGCCTAATAAGTGACATCAAAACAGAAATGATACATTTTTATACAATGAAGTATTATTTACAGAAAAACAGTGTAAGTGATAGAATTTTAAATTGAGACTATTCACCAGAAGTACTCAGACTTCCTACCACTTCAAAAGCCAGTTTTCATTTTCTTATGTCAATATTTTGAAATCTCTAAACTGCCTTCTCTTGCAGCCCAATTAAAGGATATTGCCTATGGCACCAAGCAGTACAAATTTAAACCAGAAATCATGCCAGATGACTCTGTTGATGAATTTGATGAAACCATCCACTTAGAACGAGGCGAAAATCTTTTTGAAATCCATATCAACAAAGTAACCTTTTCTTCTGAAGTTTTACAGGCATCTGGAGATAAAGAGCCTGTCACTTTCTGTACCTATGCTTTCTATGATTTTGAACTACAGCTAACTCCTGTAGTGCGGGGCCTTCATCCTGAATATAACTTCACTTCTCAATATCTTGTTCATGTTAATGACTTATTTTTGCAATATATTCAGAAGAATACTATCACCCTCGAGGTCCATCAAGCTTATAGCACAGAATATGAAACAATTGCAGCATGTCAATTAAAATTTCATGAAATTCTTGAAAAAAGTGGCCGAATATTTGGTACAGCAAGTTTGGTTGGTAAGTACAATGTATAATCTTTGAGTGTTTGAAATCCTAATTTGGTTCATATATCAATATAGTATTCCACATTGCTATCTTCTCTCATGTATTAAAGGTGCCTTTAGAGCAAGGACAATGTTCTTTACCCACGGTCAGTTGGACTATCTTAAATGTCATTGATGCCAATCACAGTGGCTCACGCCTATAATCCCAACACTTTGGGAGGACGAGGCGGGTGAATCACTTGAGGCCAGGAATTGGAGACCAGCCTGACAAACATGGCAAAACATGGCAATATTTGTATTTTTACTAGATGGCTCTAGTAAAAATATAAAAATTAGCCAGATGTCATGGCACATGCCTATAATCCCAACTACTTGGGAAGCTGAGAGGCATGAGAATCACTTGAACCCAGGAGGCAGTGGTTGCAGTGAGCTGAAATCGCGCCACTACACTCCAGCCTGGGCAACAAGAGTGAAACTCCATCTCAAAAAAAAAATGTTATTGATGATGTCAATACATTGGCTATTAATTTTTTTAAACTTGGAACTTAAGTTGTTTATCATATTGATACTCTGGCTAAATTATTTAATTTATTTATAAATTTATTAAACGATTTATAGTTTAATAGGTATAACTGTTATAAATAATAATGTAAACTATAAAATGATTTATTTTTTAAGACCTTATGTTATCACTGTAGTAGGCACTGGGAATACAGTGGTCAGTGATAAATAAGATAGACAAAACTACTCCTGTAACCTACCTTCCAGAGAGGAATACAGGCAATACAAAAAAATTAATCAGAACAAGAGGCTCAAGGGAGAACTGGCAGGTTGCAAATTCGGGTGAGGGCTTCTCTGAGGGGATGGCATTGGTAAAGAATGAAGATCCCTGCCAGGATGCAGGGGAAGAATGTTTCAGGCAGAGGTAATAGCAAGTGCCAAAACCTGCGGGAGGAGTAAGCCTGACAGTGGGAGGAACAACAGGAAGCCCAGTGGCTGCAGCAATGGGGGATTCCAAGTGATAGGCAGGGCCAGATCTTACTGCAGAGCCTTGTAGGTCAGAGAGGGGAGTTTGGATTTTCTGAGCCTTTAGAAAAATCACCCTGAGTGCTGTGGAAAGAATAGTCTGAGGCAGGCAAGAGGGAAAATAGGACCATTCTCAGGCTATTACATTGATCAAAGAAAGATGATGGTGGCTTGGATTAAGATGGTAGTGAAAGTGGCGATAAAAAGTAGTCATATTCCATACATATTTTATTAACTTCTCCTTCAAGACTTGCTTATCAGTTGAATGTGTGATAATGAGGGAAATGGATGAAGTAAGCATTTCTAGCATAAGCACCTAGAAGAATGGTGATGCCATTTACTTAGACTGGGAAAACTGGGAAAGGAACACATCTGATAAAGAAAATCAAGAATTCTGTTTTGACAAGTTAAGATTGACCTACCTTTTGCACATCCATGTGGTGATGTCAGGCTGGTAGTTAGACTTATTTTAAAATGATGACCTCTGTCTTAGTGTGTCTTGTGCTACTGTAACAGAATATCTGAGACTGGGTAATCTATTAATATAATGAACAGAAATGTATTATCCACAGTTCCAGAGTCTGGGAAGTCCAATCTGAAGGTAAGGGGCAGAGATATAAAAGTGGGAGTTGTTAGCATATAGAATATAAGCCATAACATAGATAAAGCCCCAAAGAGAGTGAATATAGATAAAGGAAAGAAAGTGGCCAAGAACTGAGCCTTGGGAAACACCAAAATTAAGGCTTCAGGAAGAGGAGGAAGAGCCAGCAAAGGAAACTGAGGAGTGGCCAGTGATGTAGGAGGAAAACCAAGAGTCTGTGGTACCCTAGGGACCAAGTGAAGAAAGTATTTGAAGAAGGAAGGAGCGTGACGTAGGGTCTTAGGAGGGATTTTATTTTATTAATTAAGTGATCGATTGCATAGGTAATATATTCATGACTCAAAAATCGAAAAGACATAAATGTCTACTTCCCTCCCCTGTACCTTAGCTACCCTGGGTCCCCTCACCAAAGACTGCAAATTTTTTCAGAGATTGTTTGTGGTGTTTTTTCATAAATACAGGGTCTCACTATGTTGCCCAGGCTGGTCTCAAACTCCTGGGCTCAAGCAGCCCCCTGACTTCAGTCTCCCAAAGTGCTGGGATTGTGGGCATGAGCCGCTACACCCAGCTTCAAAGATCTTTTATGCATATAAAAGTAAATATATATTACATTAATATTATTCCTTTAGGACTTATTTTAAAATGATGACCTCTGTCTTAGTGTGTCTTGTGCTACTGTAACAGAATATCTGAGACTGGGTAATCTATTAATATAATGAACAGAAATGTATTATCCACAGTTCCGGAGTCTGGGAAGTCCAATATCAAGGTGTTCACATCTAGTAAGGGCCTTCTTGCAGCCTAGTAACATGGCAGAAGGTAAGAGGGTGGGAGCGAGCGAGAAGGGGCCAATCTCAGCCTTTTATAATGGCACCAATCCTATCCATGAGGATGGATCCCTTGTGTCCTCATCATCTTTTTTTTTTTTTAAAGCCTAGTCAAGTGCAGTAGTGAGAAGGGGAGAAGGAGTAGAACAAGGAGTTCAATCTGTAACTGACTGTGAACAATCTATTGAGATAACTCACTACCTTCAGACCAGCCCTCATCACCTCTTAAAGGTCCTTCTTGTAATACTCTTAACAGTGGTAATTAAATTTCATCATGAGTCTTGGAGGGTACAAACATTCAAACTATAGCAGGCAGATACTAAGTTACATTTGTATGCTGATGAGAATGATCCATTAGCAGGGAAAAAAATTGATAAAGTGGGAGAGAGTAGGGGTAGTGTTTGTAATAATCTGTTCTGTTCAGAAAAGTTTATGTATAGAATATCTCTATTTCACAAATATTAAGTAGCCTTTATACACTAGTTTCTCTGGTAGGAGTACATCGGTGGAAATTATGGCCCTTGCTGTCAAGCACCTTATAGCGTATTAGAAAAACAGACTGGTGAACAAACAGGCCAGAGCAGTTAGTGCCCTAACAAGGCCATACAGCCTCCATGAAGGAGACACAGGGCTCTGCTCTCCTGGGAGCCATATAGGAAGCCCTCCCCACAGAAGAGACATGAAAAGCTGCCTGAGTTGAGAGGAGTTCCAAGGGTGTGCAGGGCAAATATCATGCAAGGATATACTGCATGAGGCATGTATTTTGCATAGCCGTAATATTTTCTCCTCTGCTTGTGATAGAGTATAGAAATGGGAAGGTGCCAGAGATGTCTTGAAACTTGAATTAAAATGTGGAATGTCCTGCGATCTATTGAAAGTCAGCCCTCGACACAAGGGTTTGTAAAAAAAAAAAAAAAAAGAACAAAAAAAAAAATGTGGAATGTCATATTTATAATTCTGAGGTTTAATATTGTAAATGTCAGACCACATTGAGTGCAACTTGTTTTTAAAAAGTATTACACTATCTCATCAAAAAGAATCTGTGGAATATTTGATTCAATGTTTAGATTTTTGTTTTTTTGAGATGGAAGCTTGCACTGTCACCAGGATAGAGTGAAGTGGCCCGATCTCAGCTCACTGCACCCTCCACCTCCCAGGTTCAAGCAATTCTCCTGCCTCAGCCTCCAGAGTAGCTGGGACTACAGGCATGTGCCACCACACCCAGATAATTTTTGCATTTTTAGTAGAGACGGGGTTTCACCGTGTTGACCAGGATGGTCTCGATCTCCTGACCTCATGATCCACCCTCCTCGGCCTCCCAAAGTGCTGGGATTACAGATGTGGACCACCATGCTCAGCCTAGATTTTTTAAATATATTTCAGAAGGAATGAAATAGTATAAATTAGAATATCTCAAACATAGTTTGACGTAGTTCTTTAATAATATTTAACATACGATGAAACTCATATTTCAGAAGTAACTGTTTTCTTCATTTGTTATTTGCCAATCTCACATTATTTGTGCAAGTCATGTTATTTTACTCAGCATAACATGTATAGTTTTAATGCATAATGCCATTGATGTATTTTTTACCGGCATATATTTTAATGTGTGGAACTATTTTAACATAACTGTGGGTTATGTATTGATTTGTAGGAACTAAAGGAGACATCCCAAATTTTGGCACAGTGGAATACTGGTTCCGATTAAGAGTTCCCATGGATCAAGCAATTCGACTTTATCGAGAACGGGCAAAGGCTTTGGGATATATAACATCGAATTTTAAGGGGCCAGAGCATATGCAATCGGTAAGCTTGTTTGGCTTTAAGACCCTTTTAAAACATAGAAATTTTATAATATTTATTTACATGTCATGCTTTAAACTGTAAGTATTTTCTTTCGCAGCCATCAAGTGGCTTTTTTTTAACTTTTTATTTTGAAGTAATCATAGACTCCCAGGAAGTGGTTAAAAATAGTACAAAGAGGTGCCCTGTAACTTCACCCAATTTCTCTTAATTGTAACATCTTACATAACTATAGTATAATTTCAAAATTGAGAAATTGATATTGGTACAGTACTATTAACTAGGCTACATACGTTGATCAGATTTCATCAGTTGCACATGCATTCATTTGCGTGTGTGTGTGTGTGTGCATGTATGTATGTAGTTATTCTTTGCAGTTTTATCACATGTATAAATTCATATAACTACCACCACATCCAAAATACAGAATGGTTCCATCAATACAAACAAACTCCCTTGTGCTATTCAGGACACTTTTGAAAAATTAATAATCATAATACTGTTGTCACACATCAAGAGACTTTTGTTAACAATTTCTACTGTTAAGGAAATAAACAGCTATTATTGGACTATCAGTCATTGTCCTTTCAAATTATTTCTTCATGTTAGGTTTCCGAAGTGCAAAGTAGAATGCAAAATTAATATTTTCTTTCTGAGAACTGGGAATGTAAATGCAATTCCTGAGGGAAGCATTTCCCAAACAATGTTTCATGGAGTCTTAATTACAATATTTTCAAATTAATTCCATGATCTAATCAATGCAGAAAACCCTGAATTGAGCAAGGTTAAATAGGATTCTTGACTTTAGGAGTTCTCATGTATAACACGAATCTTAATAGGCAACGTAAAGTATGCACTTACATTGAGTAACAGAGGGATAGGATATAGTAGAAACATTTGGTATGTCTTCTCAAGTCATAATTATCTTACCTCTTTTTCTTTGGGAGCTCCCTCACCTCCAATCCGTGGGGCTAGGCTCCCAGTGGCCGGGTTTATGTTAGCAGATCCCATTTCCTTTCACTCCTCACCCAATTATAACTAATGATTTGGGAATATCCACTTGACCCCAGTTGAACCAATCAGATTTTGCCCTCTGAGATTAAAAGAAAGCAAGACATACCTGGAACACGTAAAATTGGGGGCAATGGACAGCCATCGTCTGCCGTGTTAAACAGCGAAGGTAAGACATTGGGTCTGAAGAAAGAGAGTAATGAACAGACATACAGAAAAACATGGAGACCAGATGGAGAGGACATTCTGCTGGTTTTCTAGGCCACTGCCTTATGAAGGCCCAACCACATTTCTACTGTATATTCCATGAAATATTCCTGTTACTGTAAAGTCCTTTTTTTGTTGTTTTTCCTAGGTATAATTGGTTTCTATGACTTTCAGTTAAAGAAGCATGACTAATAACACACTGATTCCCAAACTTCAAAAGAGTGCAACTGCTTTCAGAGACCATCTTTTGGCCAGTATTCCTTACAGCACACTTTGGGAAATGCTGTTAAGGAGATGGGAATTAGAACTAAGGAGACCACATTGTTTGGTTTTGTAGTTTAAAGCTTTTTGGGCTCCCAGATTCTGACTTGAATAAGTTGTTTCCTGGTGGAATTTCAGCTCTGGTGGATAGATTGAAGGGGAGAAGTGGAGGTACTTTTTCAGTAGTTTCACTTAGCCTTCTTTGGCTGAGAGCAAACTACCCCTGGGAAAGCAATATTGTAATTCCCTTCTTAGGTTTCTCCTCTCCACACATCAGATTTCTCCACTAAGGAGATAATGATGACAGATTTATTTTTTCCTCCTCCAATAAACTTCTCATGGAGACAGGGTCCCACATGTTCAATCCAGATTCAGAAACACAGAGGGATGCCTTAAGATAAGTAGAGAATTCTCCAGCACTGAACTAAACAAAGCACAGAAGCACTAGCATTTTCTTTGTTCCAGATCTTGTCAGCCATGGAAGATTTAACGGATAGCACAATTGCTTTCTAAAATGCCTGTGTGCCACCCATCTCAGGAATAGTTCCAAAGGAACCATTGAGTAGTTTCCGGTTCTACCTAATTACTCCTTGTTCATCTCTCTCCTGAAGTATCCTCCCAGTCCTAGCTGTTTATCCCTTCAAGGTTTATCTCTGACTCTGTTTTCTTTTTCTTATAACTATTGGACTTTGTTATACTAGCTAATTTGGCCTCAGGTATCTGCTTCCTCAAATCCCAACAGTTCAGGATGAGGGCCAACCCAAATATAACAGAATCATTACTCTGGGCGGGCAGGTGAATGTCTTTTACTTAGGACATTCGTCGGTGGACCCATTGCTCACTATAGTCTTTAGTTATCAAACAGAATTAAAGAACATCAGATTAACATTTTTCTTGGTTTTATTTGATTTTAGCACCAATCTCTACATGTATGCTCAGTCTCCAGGGTTTCTTGCTAATAACGCAGGATCATGTATTCATACATGTTCTAGGGAATATTGATTTTCAATAAGAATCAAAGATTATTTTACTGAGAAATTATGAAGTGAAAATATGCAGCTTTTGTCATTGACAAAATTATCTTATTTGGGGGTTGGCAGCTGCTGTTTATCTTTTAACTGCATTATTTCTAAAATATAAATATGTATGTTTTTCCAGTTAAGTCAGCAAGCACCCAAAACTACTCAACTCAGTTCTACAGATTCCACAGATGGCAACCTAAATGAACTTCACATTACAGTAAGATGTTGCAACCACCTGCAGTCCCGAGCAAGCCACCTGCAGCCACACCCATATGTTGTGTACAAGTTTTTTGATTTTGCAGACCATGATACAGCCATCATTCCCAGTAGCAATGATCCACAGTTTGATGATCATATGTATTTCCCAGTGCCAATGAATATGGATTTGGATCGATACCTTAAGTCAGAGTCTCTGAGTTTTTATGTTTTTGATGATAGTGATACCCAGGAGAATATTTACATAGGAAAAGTCGATGTGCCTCTGATTTCACTGGCACATGACAGGTGTATCTCAGGTAAGTCTATGTTCTAGAATGTATAAAATTGTAAAACAAAACATAACAAATTAGTGTTATGGATATGATTTGTTTGTAACTAATCATCCTAACCTCTTCTCAGTCTTTAAACTTTGGAGCTATATTACTATATTTAAAAATTATTTTCTTACTAGTAGCTCTAAGGATCACAATGTACATTTTATCCCAGTCTACTTAAAATTAATACTGACTTAATGGAATTAAATTCTTAAGATATTTATATTAAATATTTAATTCAATTAAAATATAGAAAATACAATATAATTTCACTCTCATCTTCTTTTTGCCATTATTATCATATATATGTATATAATATGCCTCTATATTTTATATACCCAACAATACAATGTTGTAATTATTGCTTTATAAAATCTTCTATTCTTTAAAGAAGTTAAGGGAGGAAATATGTAATTATAAAAGACTTTGATATTTACCTACATATTTGCCATTTCTGATATTCTTTATTTCTTCCTGTAGATTTGAGTTACTGTCTGATATCAGTTTCTTACTCCAATATAGCTCTATTTCCTTCCCTGCCTTTGTGCTATCACCATTGTGCTTGCTATGTTTTGAGCCCAACAATATAATTTTGTAATTATTGTTATATGCAATTATCTTTTAAATAAGAGGAGAAAAGAGAAAATACGTATTTATACTATGTTTTATAATTACCTATGTAATTACCTTTGTTAGTCCCCATTCCTTTGTGTGGATTTGAGTTACCACTTGGTGTCTCTTTCCTTCAGCCTGAAGTACTTCCTGTGATATGTCTTGTAAGTTAGGTGTCTCCTGGCAGTGAATTCTCTCAATCTAGGAGGATTCTGTTTTCTGGGAATTTTTGTTTTGCTTTTGTTTTTTGAAGGATAGCCTTGCTGTATATAATATTTTTGGTCAAAAGTTTAGTTCACTTTTTAACTTTCTACACTTTGAGTACATCAGACCCTTACTCCTGGGATCCATTGTTTCAGATAATAAATCAGTTATTAATTTTATTGAGGTTCTCTCTTACTTGATGCTGTTTTCCAAGGTTTCTATTTGTTTTGGCTTTCAACAGTTCTACTTATGTGTCTGATGTGGATCCCTTTGCATTTATCCTATTTGGAATTTGTTGAGCTTCCTCTATGTGTAGTGTCATGTTAAGTACCACATTTATGGAGTTTACTGCCATTATTTTTTCAGTTATTCTTTTCTGCCCCTTTTTTCTTCTCCTTCTTGAACTTCCAGTACACGTACCACATGTTGGTATGTTTGATGGTTTCCCCATGGGTTTCTGAGGCTGTACTCATTTTTGTTCTTCTATAAGTTCAGATTTCCTACTGAACTGTCTATTGAAATTTTTCATTGCAATAATTACACTTTTCAACTCCATAATTAGGGGTCTTGCTATGTTGCCCAGGCTGGACTTCAACTCTTAGGCTCAAGCGATTCTCCTGCCTCAGCCTCCTGAGCGGCTAGAACTACAGGCAGGTGCTACTGCACCCAAGCATTATAATCTCTTATTATATTCTCATTTTGATAAAACATTATCATTATACTTTCCTTTTAATTCTTTAAACATGCTTTCTTTTAGTTCTTTGAGCATATGGATAATAGCTGCTTTGAGATCTTTGCCAAGTCTAACGTGGTCATTCTCAAAAAATGTCTATTGATAGGTTTTTTTCTGTGTATGCAATACATTTTCCTATTTCTTGGCATGTCTCATGAGTGGAAATGGACATTTTGGATAATATATTGTAGCGTCATTTCCTAGGTGGTTATTGTTGCTATTTTTGTTTGTTTGGTAGCTTGCCTGGACTAATTATGTAGAATGTTTCCCCTACTGTGTATAGCCACTGATGTCTCTGCTAAGTTTTGTTTCTTTTCGTTTCCATTTTAACCATAGGTCAGCATAGCTTAGTGGTTAGCCAATGACTGTTCAAAGGTGTGCTTAAACACCTTGAGCCAGTAGGTTTCCACCCTTTGCCTATGGGTCAGTGTGTGGCATGGAGGATGCATTCAAATCAAAGTTCAGTCTACAAGCCTGCCTCAACTTTTACTTTATGAATTGACTAGACCTCTCATTCAGCCAGGGATAGATAGCTTACCAGGGTCCTCTTTGATTTCTTCTGAGCATTTACACAGCTTTGTGCATGTCCATAGCCTTCCACACCATGAGCTATAAATAGGATCTTGTTGAGGCCCACTTTTTTTTTAAGCTGGAGTCCTGCTCTGTAGCCCAGGCTGGAGGGCAGTGGCACCACCCAGGCTCACTGCAACCTCCACCTCCTCCCAGGTTCAAGCAATTCTCCTGCCTCAGTCTCATAAGAGCTGGGATTACAGGCACCCGCCACCACACCTGGCTAATTTTTGTAGCTTTAGTAGAGACAGGGTTTCACCATGTTGGCCAAGCTGGTCTCGAACTCCTGACCTCAAGTGATCCACCCCCCCCACTTGGCCTCCCAAAGTCCTGGGATTACAGGCGTGAGCCACCCCACCTGGCCAGCACCCACTTTTGATATCTTATTCCTTGCATCTCCTTTTTAAATTGTTGGTTGGCTTTCTGGTCTTTTGGCTTGCCGCAACCAGTATTGAGAACTTAGGCTGTCTGTGATACTGACCTTCTCTGATTGTTTGCCACTGAGGTTGCTGTTGTTTTTAACAATGCCTCTGGGCTGAAATTATCTATATTTTGTTCCACATATAGTCAGCCCCCTACAACAGAGGCTGCCCGTCCTCCTAGTCTGTCCTAGCCTGGCATAACTTCTGTAAAATGGGACTGGGGGAGAAAGGGGAGGATGAGAGCAGCCCCATAGATTCCACTGTTCATACTGAGGTGCAGTAGATTTTCTTGAGTAAATGTTTCTCCATTTATCCAATATCTTTGATCAATTTCTGGAGTCCTTAAATGGTTATTTTTGACCATTTTATCCAGTTTTATCATCATTTTTTAAGAGCACATTTGCTGAGGTTTTTACTTAGCCATTCTGGAAGTCTTACTATGCCTGTAATAGGGGTTTATCACCTCCTTATGTTCTACCTTTACCCTTTTATCCTGCCTAAAGTCTAGAGTTTGAGAGTTGTTTTTTTTCCAGCCAGCCATTAAAAGGAGTATCAACACTTGAAAGCAAAGTAAAGGATACCCTTAAGCAAAGTTAATGCTTGAAATTTAGGTTTAAGCTGGGTACCATTCGTCCCCAGCTACTCCAGAGGCTGAGTAGGTGGATGGTTTGAGGCCAGGAGTTCAAGGCCGCCAGTGTGCTATGATTGCATCTGTGAATAATCACTGTACTCCAGCCTGGGCAATGTCATGAGACCCTGACTATTCAAAAAATAATTAAAAAGATATATAGGTTTTTTTTTTTAAGTCAGAGATTTTTTTCATACCCAAAAATCTAGTGCAACTATTACCATTTGAGACTCAATGTAACAGATTCACATTTCTTTTGTTACTGCTATTTGTTGTAGATGGTCTGTTAATTTTATGGACTTTTTCTGTGCTACTATTAATTTAGAGCGATTTAACAAATGCCAATAAAATATATTTAAAATTATAATAGAATTATATGGTAACATAAATATTCCTTTCGATGGGTAAATTATTTGAAACTTTAAAGTATTAATATATTTTTCTTGAAAGACAAGCCTTACAAAAACTCAGGTCAAAACGGAGGTTGATACTTGAGCCATAAGCCTTCTTGAAGGAAGGCTAAGAATTCTGAAAAATCTCTGAATTTAATTTCAGTGAATTAAAATATTTATAAATTAATTTTCTCATCTTTGAATCAGCGTTATCTTTGAGGCCTTCACTTCTGGAGGAAGTCTACTTCAGAGATGAACCTGTCATAGATTATTTTGTCTCTATTTTACTGTCTAAGCCATCTGAATTCTGTGTAAAAGCCAAAATTATTTTTAAAATAGGGGTACAACCGCCTGGCTAGCTCAGTTGGCAGAGCTTGAGACTCTTAAAGTAGAGAGGTAGTTCTTTGTTCTTCTTTAATTCTTACCGTAACGGAACTTCACCCTAGCATTAATTAAAATTGTTGTAATTTGACAGGAATATTTGAGTTAACAGACCATCAAAAGCATCCTGCTGGCACCATCCATGTTATATTGAAATGGAAATTTGCCTACCTTCCACCAAGCGGATCAATAGCAACTGAAGACTTAAGAAATTTCATACACAGAGAAGAGCCAGACGTTGTTCAAAGACTTCCTCCAGCACCCTCTGTTAGCACACTAGTTGTAGTGAGTAACAGTGACTTTTAATTTTTCTACAAGTGTAAAATTTTGAATATGAAACTTAAGAACTAAACTAAACTAAGCCACCCCCACCAAAAAAAAGAATAGCTAAAATCTTATCTGAAATCTAATGGTCATCATACTCAGTTTGACATATTGGTTGGTTTGTCTTAGGCACCAAGACCTAAACCAAGACAACGTTTAACACCAGTAGATAAGAAGGTGTCTTTCATGGATATCATGCCACGTCAGAGTGATGTGAGTAATAAACACTGAAAATACTCATATTTTTCATAACCAATATTTGAAATAAATGATACAGGTATACTATTCCCTACCTGATTTAAATGGAAACAGGTGAATAAAATATGTCTTTTCCCATTAAAATGATTGCTTTGTGTTTTGGCACTATATATATGTGTTAACTGTTCACATTTTTTATTTAAACCCTTTTGTGAGCCCTTATCTCTCTCTAGCTTCTGCCCCAATCCTCTGTTCCTATTTATATATATTAAAAAAAAAAAAAAGAAATCTTCAAAAAATTGTCTAAAGTCTGTCTTCTTCACTTCACATTGGTTCTTGAACTTGCTTCAGTTAAGCTTTTATCCTCCTAAAACTATTCTTACTAAGGTCACAGTGACCTTCTGCCATATGCAGTAGTCAATTCTCAGTGCCTCTCTTAATCTCCCAGGAGCATTTGACACAGTGGAATATGGGCCTCTCTTCTCTTGGCCTCTGGGACACCACGCCTTTCTAGCTTTCCTCCAACTTTACCGTTATACTTCTCACACTCCTTGGCCATATGTCTAAATATCAAAGTGCGTCTGCAGTCAACCTCAGACCTCTTCTCAATCCGTATCTACATTCAGAGATCTTGTACAGTCCCATGGCTTGAAAAAGCATCTATATGCCAACTCTTTCATATTTATAATCTTTAGTCTAGACCTCACTGCTGAATTTGATATTCATTTTCTTACTATTTAATACGCAATGAATGTTTAATAGGAATTTAAACTTAACATGTCAAAAACCAAACTCCTGGTTATACCAACCGTCTTCCAAAATTTTTGCCTCTTTCAGTGTTTCCCATTCTCTGTAAATGACATAATCATTCACTTGATTGCACAGGCATGAAATTTTGGAGGCATCCCTTTGTCTCCTCTTTTTGTCATATGGTCAAGGAGTGTGACCCTACATCCAGGTCATCCACAAAAGCTGTCAGCTGTACTTTAAATATATACCGTATTCAGACTGTTACCATTCTCTCTCACATGCACTTTTTAGAAAATGTATCTTCTTTGTAATTCACATATAGGTTATATAGTAAAGGACGTAAATCTTAAGCACAGAGCTCAATGGATTTTTAAATATGTACACACCTTTGTAACTACAACCTATATCAAAATATTCTGTCTCTCCAGAGCTTAAAATAATACCTGGCACATACAGATCATTTAATATATATATGATAATTAATGAATTCAATAGTTATAAATCAGTAGACGTTTTATCACTAGTATTTATTGAGTGCTTATTATGTGCTTTACATACATTGGACTCATTTAGTCCTCACAACAACCGTATGTCATTCATATTAGAATTATTCCCATTTAAAGATGGCGAAAGTGATGTTTAGAGAGGTTAAGTAACTTGCTCATGGCCAAAGTATTAGAACTGGGATTTGAACACAGGTAGCCTGATTCCTAAGTAAATGACCACTAACATTAAAAAGACATAAACATAGAGGTGTTTGTTGCAATGTTACTCATAATACCTAAAAATTGTGAACTAGCTAAATGTCCAGCAGTATTAAAATCGTTCATGAAGCCATAGTATACCCATCAATATAATATTCTTTTGTTATTTAAAATTGTTTTTCCAAGTTTCATATAAAGAAGAAATGTTTATAACATTAAATTTTTTTAATGTAACAGGATATATTATATTTATCATACGGTTATCACCATGCAACTGAAATTTTGTTTCTATCAAAAATTAGTTTTAAAGAAATAGAAATCTAAGAAGTTTGATAGATATTACCATTGAGTACTAGATTTATATTGATTTCTTTTATATTTATCTTTCACATTTCCTATATTGGCCATGTTTACTTTTAAAAATAGTAAAAGTCATAAGCTATATTTTAAGACTAAACATTAGTTTATTAACCCAGGAATAATAGCTAACTATAAATTCATATTCGATGAAATAAAAAGATTATATTGATCATAAGGAATACATACCTATGATACCATATGGCATTTTTAAAATTACATGAATAATTTATTATCAACATAGAAATGTTAGAAAATACAAAGAAGAAAAAAAAACAGTGAAAATAAAATTTAATGTTCCCAAATGTAAAACTCAGAGATACTGTTTTGATGAATTTCCTTTCATAATTTTTCCCATGGAAATACACACAGATATATGTTGGATTCCTTGTTTGTATTTTAACAAAACATAATACAACTATATATATTGTTCTGTAAATAGCTTTTTTACTCAGCACCATGTTATGTATTCTCTGTAATGTTAATAAACACAGATCTGTATCATTATTTGGATGCAGCATTTTTTATTTAATGCCTTATTGTTGGACATTTGTATCGCTCTCTTTTTTTTTTTTTGCTATTGTAAACAGTGCTTCAATGAACTAAACTTGCAGTTCTTCAATTACATATATATGTTTTTAAATATATATTTATATTTTAAAGAATATCAATACCATTTTATCGAAATATACTAAGTAAATTCAGTGTCATATGAGTTACTATTATATTTGCTGCCAATTTTTATTAGTTCATTAATATAGATGGAATAGTCAGAATGATTTGGGATTTAGTAATAAATAAAAAATAACATACATGCATGTTTTCACATTAATATAAGGAGACTTCTCCTCCTGAAGATATGAAGGAAATTTTGCCAGAAGTGGAGCATATACCAGAAATAGAAATTAATGTGCCAGCTGTTTCACATGTTCCCAAGGTATGCACTTGTGTTAAAATTATTTCGGAAGGTTTAATTTGGTTCTTATAGACTTTGTCTTATAAGTTTTGACATGACTCAGGAAGTCATAGCATTTATCCTATTTTTATATATGACTTCCTTGGAACAAAAAGTCAAAAATATGACAAGTGTAACAGCTGTAATTATACTGCTATTGGCCGGTAATATATGGATATGTGAATTAAAGTCTTAATGTAAAATTCATTTTGAGATTAATTCATTTTTTATTCTTAGTACATATTCAGATTTCCATTTATCTATATATTTTCACTTGTCTGTACAAATTGAAGTGGTTGTTTTCTGAGTCTCATACATATTATGTATCTGTATATTTAAGTCTCAAATTTTTATGCTTTATTATTCAAATGTTCCAGCAAGAATGCTATAAAATGTGATCTAAGCAATAATAAATATACCAGTGTGCTTTTATTTTTTCAGGTTTCACAAGAAAGCAGTGTAGACAAGGTAAAAGAGAATACTGAGAAAATGCAGCAAGGAAAAGATGATGTGTCTTTACTGTCTGAAGGTCAGCTTGCAAAACAAAGCTTGGTGTCTTCTGAAGATGAAACAGAAATAACAGAGGACTTGGAACCAGAAGGTGACTTCCTTTTTTAAACTAACATTATTTACTTAACTCTGTGCTTTGTTTTGTCTGTTAGAGTATGCATCATAGAACATGATCATTTAATAGCAGGATCTACTTCATGATACCTGTTTCTTGACAGAAATGATAGAATATAGTTCTGTCTGCTTAGCTGTAGTTAAGGTGGAATTGTTATATCTCTGCTTATTTCAACTTGGAGCTCCACAATGGAATACAAATGTTGTTGCTGACCATGTTCCCAATTTATGTTTTAAACAGTTTTATATAACCTTTGAGTTCAATATTATCATCTGCATTAGTGTAGAGATCTTGACTTAAAAATTGAAAACTAGCCAAAATGACCACTTAATGTATTTTTTAAAATCTGGTAAAAGCAAACTAATCTGTAAGAATAGGAACAGGGAGGGGCAGAAGGGAAGAGATTACAGAAGGACCTAAGGAGACTTTTGGAGGGGATGGATATGTTCACTATCTTAACTGTGGTGTTGGTTTCACAGAATTATGCTATGGCAAAACATCTAATTTTAACCAGGCATAGTGTTGCATGCCTGTAGTCCCAGCTAGTTTGGAGGCTGTGAGGGAAAGATTACTTGAGCCCAGGACTTTGAGGCTGGAGTGTGCTATGTGGTGCCTGTGAATAGCTACTATACCCCAGCCTGGGTAACATAGCAAGACCCTGTCTCTAAAAATAATTAAAATATGTGTGTGTGTGTGTGTGTGTGTGTGTGTGTGTGTGTGTGTGTGTCAGATTCTACAGTTTAATTGTGTGCAGTTTATTGTGTGTCAGTTTTATATCAATAAAGCAATAAAAATTTTAAAACTTTTGAATAATAAGAATAGCATTGACTTACATAACATTATTGGTCAGACTGTTAAAAAACATCTATTACCCTATGCTTCTCTTTTTGAAAATTTTTTCTTAAATTTTACAATAAGGTGTTTTTTTATTGGCATTTCCTTTGCCTCTACAAAATTAACCTTGAAATTTTTAGTCTTTTTTTTTCCCTAAAATGTAATATGTCTATAAACAAATTTATTACTAAAAAAGATCTAGACATAATTACCATGTTTCTTAAGGTTATCTTATGGTGTTTGCTTGTTTCTCTTTATTTCACAAGGTATAAGTAGAACTGGTTTAACTTGTATAAATATTACTCTTTTATTTTTTAACAGTTGAAGAGGACATATCAGCTTCTGACAGTGATGACTGTATTATTCCAGGTCCTATCTCCAAGAATATCAAACAGGTCAGTAATTTGATGCCAACTAGAAATGTTCTGAAATAAGGCTGTCTTTCATTCACAGTACATATACAGTCTTCATATATAAAAATCTTAAGGAAAACTGTTTCTGGAAAAACTTTAATGTTTAATCTTAACAAGGTAGTCATCTAGTACAAGAAACTTTTATTTATAGTTTCATTATATAATGGACTATAACACATAAGCATTATTTTTTGCAAAGAGTAACTTTAATCATACCTCCAATAGTTATTTGCTAAAACTAGCTGACTTCCTTGACTCCTTTTCAAGACGAGCATACCAAGATGTGTTGAAGCAGATCTGAACTTTAAAGAACTCAAACTGTGAGATGCCCTTTGAAACTATAATAGTTTGCCTATGAATTCATAGACTACTCTCACCTAGATATGTCCACTGATAATATGTTACAGTTATTTCTGCCAAAAAAAAATGAAGCCTTCTTAGAAAGCAGTTAATCTTGTGCAAGTGTACTTCGCTAACCTTGTGGCACACGGCTGAAAAGTAGCATGCAAATTGACATTTTGAGAAGAAAATTATATTTTTAAAAATATATGTTGGAAGTATACTGTTTACCAGAGCATTTTTTATTGTGAGAGGGAAAAAGTTCCTATAAAGTAAATGTAAATAGAGTAAAAAGCTCTAGCTTTTTCTGTTCATCTACATTAATTTTTCTTAAATGATTGGTTTTTTTGTAGAATTTTTACTTTATTTTTTAGAATTTTTACTTATCTTCATTGATAAGAATTGGAATATTTCTTTTAACTCTTTCTTCACACATTCCTAGCTTAATTTCTCTTTAAAACAAAATCACAGACCAGACACAGTGCCTCACACCTGTAATCCCAATACTCTGGGAGCCCAAGGCGGGAGGATCACATGAGCCCAGAAGTTCAAGGCTGCAGTGAGCTATGGCTGCAGCACTGCACTGCAGCCTGGGTAACAGAGTGACGTTCTGTCTCTACCCAAATAAATAAAACAAAACAATAGAGCAGAACATTTCTGTTGTTGTCACAGATTCCTCCATGAAATAGAGAGATCCATTGTTTCTGTGCTTGACAAATACAAATGGAACATTTCATCTGTCCAAAGTTTTATCATTATTATTATATATTTATTATAATCTCATCTAATCTATGAAAACTCCTACTTAGATCTACAATAGAACCATGTGTATGTTGGCAACGTTGCTAGCATCTCAGTGAAGTTGTACATTGCTCTTAACTAAGGTAAAATAAACTTTAATGAAGAAGTTTAGCAAAAGAAATAATTATTCCTCTAAAATATTCAAATAATTTAATGTACATATACATATTTTTTCTTTGTAATAAACTGGATTTTTTCCATTACTTAAGGTAAAATAATTTGTGTTACTTTGCTATAGCCTGTTACAGTCTTCACTATCATTCCAAAATTTGATTTCCTATAATGGCTTCAGATGCTATCTGAAATGTGAACATCATTTAAAGCAAGCAATTCTTCATGCTTCACCTCTCATGGGTTTTAAAAATTCTATTTTCAGCAGCAGTCACTGACCAGCACCTATGTTTTCTTAGTTTGTTTTGTGTTACTATAAAGCTATACCTGAGTGTGGGTAATTCAAAAAAAAAGTAGTTTATTTGACTCACAGTTCTACAGGCTGTAAAAGAAGCAGGGCACTGGCATTTGCATTTGGTGAGAGCGTCAAGCTGCTTTCACTCATGGCAGAGGGCTAAGGGGAGACAGAGCATGTAGAGATCACATGCCAAGAGAGGAAGCAAAAGAGAGAGAAGTAAAAGTTGCCAGCTTATTTTTAACAATCAGCTCTCAAGGGAACTAACAGAGTGAGGTCATTAATCTGTTCGTGTGGGATTTGCTGCCATAGCCCGAACACCTCCCGCTAGACTCCATCTCCCTACACTGCAGATTAAATTTTAACATGACTTTGGTGGAGACAAACAAATCACATTCAAACCACAACATATTGTTAACAGGTGAAATTTAGTTTTGGTAAATTATATACCAAATATAGTAAAATGGTATCATCTGAAAGCCTGGGAACAAAACTCAAGAAATTATAATGGCTAATGGTATTGTTTGAATGATGGTATCCCCTCCAAAATTTATGTTGAAACTTAATCCCCAATGCAACAGTATTAAGAAATGTGGCCTTTAGGAGATGATTAAGTCATGAGGACAGAGCTCTCATGAATGGGATTAGCACCCTTATGAAAGGGCTTGATGTCGAAGAGACATTGTCTTGCTCTTCTGCCATATGAGAACATAGCATTCCTCTTCTGCAGAGGATGCAGCAACAAGGGACAATCTTGGAAACAGAGAGCAGCCCTCACTAAACACCAAACCTGCTGACACCTTGATCTTGGACTTCCCAGTCTCCAAAACTCTGAGAAATAAATTTCTATTATTCATAAGTTAACCAGTATGTGATATTTCATTGTAGCAGCACAAATGGACTAAGACAGTGAAATA